CGGTTCTGTGGCAACGTAGTTGAGCATCGTGCACATTGTAAATAGATTTTTAATACATATTGTTTTAAATCCTTCTTGAAGCCCTTAATCTATTTCGACCCTGACCTGCAGTGTTCATGGCCTTATGTACAATAGGAACTAAAACAATGACTAATATCATGTTCTTTATGATTATTCAAGTAAACTGCCATTATTATAACATTTATTAATTATGTATTCAGCATTGAATGGCTATATTTTGTTATTAAAAAACCTAATGACCGACAACGAGTATTGCAATACTCAGAAATACAATAAGTTAGCAAAAAGTCGCTTTGGTTCGAAGCCCAGTGTGTCAGTGTGCCACTTAACCAGCAGCTGATTTCGTGATGATATAATTGCGCTGACTTGCAATGACGTAAATTCTGGTAAAGCCCGAAGTGAGGTGAAAGTGTAAATAGTGACCGCACGGACCCTGACACCGACCGCCTCGGTCGATAGAACTTAATAACGGCATCGGCAATATAACGGCATGCCCTTTATGGCTAACATTCGATTACATGGCGGCAAAGTTGTTCGTCCGGAAGTTTAATGCCTTGGAATGTTGTCATTCATTCTTACCTGCGTGTATGTGCATATTTGACGTAAATTTAGTCAGTAATAAACACAGCTTAAAACATTAAAATACGAAGCATTTAGAGAAGCACCCGTGCATAAAAACAAATGAGTAAAATGTTAAACAATTTTTAAAACATTTTATTATTATTTTTATGTAATCTTAAGTCGTTAACTTAAAATTTAAGTAAATGAATTTTAATTGTAAGACTATTTTAGAATTATTATTACATTCATATGTGTATATGAATGTAATAGTAGTGGATAGCCGAGGGAAAGAAAATAATATCATTAAAATATTGGAATTAATAATTAATATCTGGAAACTATCTGGTACCTGGCAGATCCGGTCGCAAATGGATATTCAAATCAAGTATTTTATTCAAGTCGCATAACAAATATAATCGCTATTACTTTATTTATACCAACATCGATGAATGACTACTAACTTTTAAATTAAGTCCGGGTATGATGTGACATTGAATAATTGGTTTGGAATATACACAAACGCTGAGTGGATTAAAATGAGACGTAATGACGAAATCGTAAAGAATATACTGAGGTGGTTTAGGTGCTTAAAAATGAGTTTTGAACCAATGATAAGTATGTAAGAGAACCCTTAGCGTAAATGCCGGTAGAGATAAAACACTACGCAAAATATGCTACAACCAAATTCGTAATGTTATGAAGAAAGGTTGTGGCAAAAGTTTAATGATAGTAAAGGACGTAGAGACGTATAAAGATAGAAGCGAGTGTCTGGTAGACTCTATTTCATACGGTAAACATTACATTGTTTTTATTGATCGACAGATATATTTCTGTACTTTTCTTTTGTTAACTCGTTAAGCCAATTGCAGAACATATCATAAATTTGGCAAAATACTATACACCTTAGTCAATCAAAATACATCATTAACTGAAAGAGGAGGACTCTTCGCAAGACATTTTTATTAATTCTATATTGATGCTAATTCTGTTGTTCGAAAACTCCCTAAACTAAACTAAGACTCACAAAAAAATTTAGTTCTGTCAAACAACGTTTCCTATTCTGAAAACGTAATATTTGACAGGACATTATTTTTTGTGATTTTTAGTTAAGTTTAGAGAGTTGTCGAACAACAGAATTAGCACCATTATCTGTCAAGCTCATTTTGCTTAAAAACTTGTGTCTTGACTTAAATCTCGAATGAGGGGGTTGAGTTGATTTTTCTAATTTAGATTTTAAAGAGATACCTTTGTGTGGTAAGTCAGGAATCTTAGCTTAGTTTTATCTTTGTCACATTGGTTACTATGGCGTTACTGATTTGTAACTTACATTTATTTTTTATTTTTTATTTATTTCATTTTATTGACTGGATAACACTTAATTAAAACTATGTAGGAACTAAAACACTACTGCATTCGCTATCATTCGCTTTTGGAATCGTAGTTCACATTTTTGTTTTTTAAATTATTATAATAGTTTCAATAGTCGGTAGTCATTCAATATTGCATGGTTGGTTGTTTCGTCGGCAAAATAACCTCTTCTGTCTAATGTTACGTGAAAGAAAGTGTGCTTTCTAGCGATTTGCAGTTGCACAACGCTACGCTGCGGGGCGGCTGCGCTCTGCGCGTGCGCAAGGTCGTCATTGTTGACACCGCTTTGTTTTATTTTGCCGTGAATTGCACGCCAAAGCCACAACTCGACAAGTAATGACCATAACTAAATTATACAGTAACCTCAAACGAATTTAGAAATATGCATATTCTAAAGAACCGAAACGTTTGTTTTATGTATAAAGAAATTTAAATTTTTAGAGATAAGAATTTTCAGGCTTCAAGGGCCCCCTCAGAAATGGACTCCTACATCTCAAAGCTCTCAAACACTCAGGGATTGAAACTATTTTTTGTCACTGCAATATGAATTCTCTCAAATTCTTGAAACACAAAGGTGATGGAAGATAACGGCCCTAATTGTGTGATGTGATCTTAAAATATCAAAAACTAGATCAATAAAATTCTCAATCTGAAAGAGAAAAATTATGAGGAAGATACTTTTCGTAAGATTATCGATCAATTGAGTAATCTATAATACAATATTCACAATAAGAAATTCTTTTGTACTAAATAATTTACCTATTTTTTATTATTATTTTTATTTATTTATGACTTCATGTACAATTATGATTAAATTCAATATATAATATTATAGATATATATGTAACAAAGTGCATTTGTTGCACACTAAAGAAAACATTAATTTATTACTGAAACAAAAACAAAACCTAATATTTGGAGGTACACACATAGTCATTTTCAGTTTACAGTTGTCTACGTGTGGGCTATATCTCGGCTTCGTATTTTTCGATACATTGATTCATGTGTCGATTGCCTATTATAGTCTCATGCTTTGTTTGATTCAGTTGTACTCTGAACACTGTAGACGGCTCAAACGTATGGATCAGACATGTTTTTTCTGAATCGTGTATGTATTCTGGGGTAGCAACTAACAACTGCATCGCTTAACGGCGACTATCTTTAGATATACTGAAATAATTATGACGACAATTATGTGAGCGAATCGGCAATAGTTTAATCTCAATAACCAAATAAGTTAATTTAAATACGATTTAATCGTTTTTTTTTCTATTTTCAGTTGATTAAACTATAGTGATATACCTTCGAAATTACGTTTTTATGAATAATCCAGTAATAGCGTGCACAGAAATTCACTTATTTTATTTAATAGAGATGTTTATCAGCGATTATTTCCCTCTAATATATTTAAAAATGATATTCGAATATGTAAATTTATAATTTAAAGTGAAATTGATAGATTAATTATAACAAAAGCAGTCTAGCAGTTTATGCCTTGGAAATGTCAATCTGTGCGTATATATTTCATTCAAACATTAACGAAATCAAAAGAAACACACAATAATAATATCTCCTTTTTATAGTGGTAGAAACTAGTTTATGGTTTACTTATAAAAAATATACATATATTAAAAGTTATTTAGTTGTAATGAAGTGTGAAAGAACCTGAAAAGGTTTAGTCAGGTTAAATTTTTAAACAAATCTTTTATAGTTTGTTTTGTTTTTTGTTTGTTTAATATTTTAGCATATTAGTTATATTACGTAGATACGTCTTTTCGTGCTAACAAAATCTTTTACAGGAAGTATAGAAATTTAAATAAATTCTTTTGTTCAAATCAAAGAATTTCTCAAATACCGAATAACAATCTGTACATTGTTATCCGGTGCTCATGGGATCCTTACAGTATTACTAAAATCTGCACAAGTTGAATTTAATTTTAAAATCACTTGAAACGCATGTGTGCCATGGTACGAACATAGTATAATTCTAAGACTTTAGCATATCGCTAAAACTGCTTTTGTCATGACAGATTTCATCATTAAGAAAAAATGCATAATAGTTTTAACATAACAATTCCACGTCATTCTAAAATCATTTAACAACCTCGGTGGATCCGTGGTAGCGTACCAGACTACTGTACTGAGGTCTCGGGTTCGATTCCCGGGTCGCACCATATGTTTGTATGATCTGCAAATATGTGTTTCGGAGTTTGGGTGTTTTCTATGTATAAAATAATGCGTATGTATTTGTATTCTGTCAGTCAATATAGCTTTCATAGTAAAACTTGAAAGATTTGAAAGATTTCATTACATTTATTGCTATGAAGAGTCTGGATAATTATAGTTAATGTAAATTATGCAAAAGAAAAATGGATTGATTATCTATTAATAATCTACAGTTTTGAAAATAAAAGAAGCAAACTAATGCTTGATAATATTAAATTAAAATGGATTTAAGATATCACTAAATTTTATTTATATAATACATATTAAATATCATGGAATCCAAAAACCCATGTAAGGATTATTACTATTTCTAGTGCTAGTCTTTCAACTAGTGCAGAATGAGAGATATGCTTATATTGGCATTTTCTTCTCAAGCTGTGCCTAGAATCCAACACACATAGCCCTTACATTGTATTAAAACAGTACAATTTAACACCACCTAAGAATGATACAGCAATTAGACCTATGAGGTATCACAGGCAAGTTATTCTTCAAACTGAACATTTATTTTCTAGTCCTATAATTATACATGCACTTTTTTTAGAATATTAACTTGATTGAATACTGAGTAAACTGCACCATCTGTAAGAACAGAATATCAATTGATAACTATAGTTTAAATCTACAACAAATTTCATTTCAAGGCATAAGTATGCAGTTACTCTCAATAAGTCAATGCACTGCACACAATTTAAATATTTCTAGCATTCTGTGGAACTAAGTATAGCAGTATAGTGTATGCCTACTTAGTTTAATTTACATAACCTAGGATAAAATTATATAGTGTGAAGTTTGAGTAGAAATCCATAATGTAGATAATTCAACTATTGATGAGCACATTGCACACCAGGGCCAGCGTGCATGTGTTCTTCATCGTCACTAGCATAAGCTTCCTGCCGACCCTTACCACCCTCATTTCCAGTGCACTCTGTCAAGTTGACTTCTTCTACATCCTCTCCAGTTGGCATAACAAATGCTGGGCGGGGAGGCAGAGCAGATTCAATTTGTTTCATCTGCTCTTCAGTAGCAAAGTTATTTTCCGGAAAAACCACATCAAATTTTATATACAAATTGCCTTTCTCAAATGGGTTTTTGTACTGGGGCATACCTTCACCCAAAATGCCCTTAAGATCTCCAGGCTTAATTACCTCACCAGGAGGGTGTCTCACAAGTAAATCTCGACCATCTAAATGTTTAACAATAAACTCAAAACCACACAATGCTTCAGTTAGAGAGATTTCATGCACCATTAATAGGTCATCGTCAGTCCGTTGGAATACATCATGAAGCTTTTGCTGCAACACAATAATTACATCTCCAGGTTGAGTGTCAGGCTGCTGGTCACCCTCTCCTTTAAAATGAATGTTCTGTTGGTGTCGCATTCCTTTGTCGATGTGCACCTCCAAAATTTTAGTTTCATTTACAACTTTCTTACCTTTACATTTTGGGCATTTATCTTTTTCATTGATTGTTTCACCTTGACCATGGCAAGTAGGACAACGTGATTGGAATTGACGGGTCATATGGGGTGCAATTTGTTGCTAAGACACTTTTATACCCTGACCATGACAATCTTTACATGTCACAACTGACCCAGGCTTGCCACCTAAACCTTTACAAGGTCCGCAAATTACGTTTTTACTTAACTGTAACTTGGTCGTTTTACTCATATACAAGTCCTCTAACGTCACATTGAGAGGATGCATCGTGTCTTCCCCGCGAGTGGGGCCTCGCGCTCTGCTGCCACCTCCCATGCCAAATATGTCGCCGAAGAAGTGTCCAAAAAGATCATCAGGGGGGAATCCACCACCTTGACCACCCTCTTGCAGACCTTTCAGCCCAAATTTATCATAAATTATCTTTTCTTTGAATCCGACAATACTTCATACGCGTAGCTTATTTCTTTGAATTTATCACCTGCGGCAGGATTTTTGTCAGGATGAAATTCTTTCGCTAGTTTGTGGTAGTTTCTCCTTATTTCAGAATCACTTGAACTTCTCGAAAAGTCTGCTTACTTTGAAATTAGATGGTGGATGTGTGTTTGACGTCCAAAAATATTCAAAAATAAAAAAATTGATATACAAAATAGGTGAGGCGTTAAAATAATATTATTATTATTTTAACCTCTATTTTACATCATCTATGTAACCAATGACGAATAGACTACGTAGCACGTTGCGGTTCCTCTTTCTGTTTTTGGGTTTCTTACTTTACTAAAGTTACATTAACAATAACACAAATTGGGCGACTATTACTCCTTAAATTAACCAAGCTAATCTAATTTGTAGACATGTTTCATAAGTTGGACTACTATTTTAGTCTTAAATAAAACAGGTAACTTAGGCTATTACTTTTCCTTGTTAGTCTCTTAAATATGCTAACTTCAGAAACTCTACACTTGAACACACGAGAACTTTATGAATAGAATAGAAAAGTAATAAACAGTGAGTAAATTTTTCTCCACACGCTTATGGACGGTAGTGAAACCGCCGAAGCCACATATTTTGACTAAGGGTTTTAGTAAGTAAACAAACTTAAAGAAAACGAGTACAGTATAGGGCCTGGATAGGCCTTTTGAAGAAAGGACCATAGTTTTGAGTGCGCTGGTCTGATATTAGTCAAGATCAACGACCCGAAGCGCTACACTACCGCCAGCAGGACATTTGGGTAGACCGCGGTAACACTCAAAACCACCAGAAAGTAGAAGAAGAATATATGAACTAACATTACAAGCCTACACTATATTTACGTTTACCTAAGGAATCTTTTATATCAATTTCCAGACCTCTAGCCTAAAAATTGGCGGAAATTTAAATATAATGTATTTTTTTTGTTTATGTACTAATATTGGCTTATTTTAGCTTTCTAGGACCTCAGCAAGTACTCTAAGAATTTTGATGATCATCAATGAGTCTGACGAAATCGTTGTTTTTTAAATATCAATAAATTCTAAATTATAAGCGCTATGCAATTTAAACTTTCGATATAAATAAGTCAACTATTTACATCATATAACAAGAATATTATTTATCTGGTATAATCGAAACCAAAGTTATTAGGGTCCAGAAGCGCTTCGAGAATAGGTAGGTACTTGCGCTTCGCTTGGTTCGTCTTGGCGAGATACTCAAACGAGCACTTCACTATTAATTTAATTATTCTGATGTGACTTTATCATTTTTAAAAATTAAATGCAGGGTTATACACATTTTGTTAATTCATTTCAACCCCTAATTATGAATTCAGTAAAACAAATGTATATTTGTCACTATACATGCATAACTTGTATAAATAGAATCTACATATATAAGGTTTTGAATTAAAAGCAACGGCGGTACTTCATTAGCTTTAATTATTCAATTGTACCGAGTGTCAGGCGTATAATAGGATTCTTGTAACAATAAATAAAAACCATAATCTTTAAATTAAAATCATGCTCAGCGGAGTCCATTATTCTGTGGGTTTTACCATCCGGATCCGGAAGAGTGATCGTTAATCGTGCCTCACACATGAGCTCTGTGTCCGTGGGCGTGCGTACCGTGTGACCTTGTTGGTCTAGCCTCGATGTGCAGTGGCCGATGAAGTATCCAACGTGTAATGCCTCGTAGCGTAATTTTCTCATTATTTGTATTTCTAAAGAAAAACTATGATGCAGTGATGAAAAGGTTAATGTAGTAACGCATTTTTCACACTCGGTCCTTTTTTATCATAAGTCTACCAAAGATAAATACATGCACCTGTATTTTTCTACTCCGTACCTTCTTTATAGTTGTCTTAAAAAAGACACAGGATAAAGATTTTAAGTGTCACCCAAACAAAGAAAACTTTATTGTTTTTGGGTTAAAAGTTGCTTAGATTGTTGTTGTTGTATCCATGAATGGTACTGGATGTAGGTAACATTTGACGATATTTGCAGAGTGAGCAGGTTTATACCAGTGCCGTAAAAAAGTTAGGTAACTACATTGTTTCCAATTGCTTTATTACACCCACAAATATCTAACAGAGAAGTCTTTTCATTACAACTCAACACAAGTACTCGTATGTTGAATAAGAATTGGCGTTAAGTTTTTGTAAAAGCATGAACAATGACAAACTGTTCTCACACAGGAAATAATCATAGATAAACATCGATCTCTCCGCTATGAATGTAATAAAATATAAATATAAACCAGCTAGCAATAATGTACGTCAACAAAATAACTATAAGAATACCCGTAATTCCTGTAATCTATCATAGAATACTTTAATATTTTGACATTGACGTTAAAAAAAATACTTCGTGTTGTGTGTTGTATTATAAGTCAGTCGTGTTTGATAACCACTTCATATATCTAGATACTACTCGTATTGATATTGATTTGTAAGTTATACCTTCTGTTATAAAGCTATTATTTCTACAATTTTGTCCATTATTATTTAAATCATGGCCTTAATAACGTAATGGGTTTTAGATTATAATGATACGTTTGAAGCAGACTAGAAATGAAAATTTGTGCACAACTGCACCCTTTTTTATTCCTGTGCGGAAATCCCCTCGGATACCACCCACCGGTGGCTATGTCGGACTCGAACCGACTAAAAACCGCACGCCGTCTCGGCTACCAGTAACCTACCCTAGAAAGGAAAGCCCTGGTATCCCGACGTACCTCGGGCCATCTACGGCGGATGGATGACCCCTGATGTGCTCCTGAAAGGGCGCGCGCGCTCCGCAACGCGTACATTGGCCTGCTTCTGCTAGGGTGACAGATGGCCTCACCTGCCACCCCCAGGCCTGCGCTTAAGGAGGACGGACAGGACGTACGCGAGAGTTCTAAACCTCTCCCGGTCCTGCTCCGCCATCTCCTTCGCAAGCATAACTTGCTTGTAGAAGGAGACACAAGCACTCTCGCTCCGCACCATGGTCGCAATTATGTTTTCGAGCAAGAGGCCTCCCACTCCGATTTCCACCACGAGGTCACGCCTCTGGTCTACCCACGACGGGCATTCTGCCAACGGAGGGCCGTGTCCACGGTCCGGCCATCGCAGGGAGAAGAAAATGCCTATGGCATTAAGTTGTGGAGCTGTGTGTGGCCGGTATATAATTGAAGTAAAGATAGAAAGATACATAATATGTATAATATGTATAAAGATACATGAAATATGTTTTAGCCATTATTGTTACATATTATGTAACAATAATGGCTAAAACACATTTCATGTAAATTCATGTTTGTGATTTTAATTAATAAATTTTAAAAATAAAGTCTTATAAAAGCAAATTTTTAGCATTTACCTTACAGCTTTTTTTTATAATAACTTGAATAAGATTGTTAACAACTACAAGTACATGAATGGGATGTCGACAACAATACAATTTATTATCTCATACAAATTCATATGTAGATATATTATTCTCGTAGTTTATCAAATTGAATATATCATTTTTTCTAGGGTTTTTTTAAAGTTTTTTGAGCACCATGGCTTGAAATTGATAATGACCATAAAAACTTAGAATAAAGACTACCTTGCTCAAGCCATTGACCGCATTTGATTTTCAGGACATTTTTTTCCATATACGGAATATACGGATATACGGAAGGTGAAGCTATTTTAATTGTTATGATTTTATATGAAACTCTTTATTGTTAACAAATTTTTTTTTTTTCAAATTCAAATTATTTATTTCGGACTATTACATCCATATAGTGTTAGTAACAATGTGTTTTAAAAGCTAGTGTTAGTAGTGAATTATATTTATTCGTTTATTATATTTTTTTTTATTTTACGTGAATGGAAATCCACCTCCGAATAAAGGAAGAGTCCCATCTATCTGAAAAAACATTCAGGATGCGGTTGGAGGAGGAGCGCAAACGCATCAGCATGGAGGCGCAACGTTTCCGCATTATAGCGGTGAAACCGTCGACCTGTGCCTCTGCGAACATGACTGACGCGCTACATCGCCATGGCGACCCCAAAAGCACCCTGAATGCATTATTGTACTGGACACGCAGGTCGTTGTATGCCCTCTGCGTAAACTTAGTCCATAGGCTGCAGGTGTAAAAAGATTGGCAGAAGGCTTTAAACAGCATTATTTTAACATTGCTAGAACACCGTGCAAACCTACGGGCCAGCATATTGCAGCGGACAGCCAACGACCTGCGTTCCCTATCAATATCCACATTATCTTTTAAGTCATCAGTGACCCAGTGGCCCAAATACTTAAACCTCTGAACGCGGCCTAGAGGAGATCCAAAGAGTGAGAGTTCCGGAAGCTGTTGGTATGTTAAGGTACTCGTCTTGAAAACTAGCCATTCACTCTTATGGGTATTGTACTTGAGCCCGTGTGCCACCGCATAACTTTCGCAGATTTTAAGTAATTTCCTCATCGCGTTAATAGACGGGCTCAGCAGCACCATATCATCAGCGTAGCTAATGTTGTTTACACAAACACCATCCACGTGACAACCTGTTCTGGTGCTATTAAGCTCCTCTATCAATTTGTTGATGTACAGATTAAACAAACGAGGGGAACTCAACCCACCCTGTCTTACCCCACATTCTAACCCATATAAGTCAGAATATGAGCCCGCCCATTTCACTCTATTTTTTTGATTACTGTACCAATATCTCAACAGTGAAATGACATTACCCGGGACAGAAGTATCGTGGGCAAGCTTATGCCAGAGCAGGTCGTAATTTACTAAGTCGAATGCCAAAAAAAAAGCAATTATTGGGGTCTTTCTATCTGTGTAATATTGGACAGTCTGCTTGAGACTTAGGATAGCACTTTCAGTGGATAAATTCGCCCTGAAACCAAATTGGTTATCCTCTAGAACTATGTATTTGGCTAGTATTTCATCAATTAGACTGTCCAATACCTTAGCAGTCACAGTTGCCAGCGAGATGGGTCTGTAGTTGGAAACATCGGAGGCATCCCCAGTTTTATTTTTTATAATTGGTACAACAATCGTCTCAGTAAGTTCAGCAGGTAGGTAACCATGACTTAAACACAGGCTGAAAAACATAGCAAGTACTCTTGGTAGGTGTACTCCTGAATATTTAAGATGTTCGACGCTGAGGCCGTCGTGACCGGGGGACTTGCCCCGCATCATATTTTGTATAGTTTTCGCTACTTGCTCAGCAGAGAACTGGACAATTCGAGTCCCAGTCACGGACGTCCCAGCCTCGCTGAACACTATATTATTAGTGTCAGACAGAGGTGAGCTTACTTTAAAATTATCTAGGAAAGCATTCACAATTTCTGTGGGCTCCGTCACACCCGCGACGCTCACCGGTACTCCCGACTTATGTTTTAATTTGTTTGTTAGCTTCCAAAATTTATCAAATTGTTTTTTTTTATGACATGTGGCTAATATATCCATTTTAATTTGCACTTGGTTATTTTGACAATATTTTAACTTATATTTAAAATTGTTTCTTGTCCTACACATATTATCATAAATATAACCGCTAGTGGGTTTGTTGTGCAACATCCACATTCGATACGACAGTCGTGCGTCACGGTGAGCTTCGCGAACGTGCTTGTTCCACCCTATTACATGCTTACCCTTATGATTCCTTTTAACAGACATACACTCTACACAGGAAACAGTTCGGCTTCAGAAGAAGTCGCTCGACAAATGGTACTGGTGTTGAACTTCTGGAAAGTGTATTTGGAGCTTGGGATGATAATTTTCGATTAAGTTTTTCATGAAACATTGATCAGGAAATTGCATCACTATCGAATTAGGAATACTGCGTTGGATCTTCTTATCTCTTATGAAGTATTAACAAATTTAAGTCCTTAGTTAAACAAAAACTACGTGAAAATGCTTACTACAAGGTTACAGATTATTTAGATGACAAATTTGCTGGGGATTGATGCTGCTCACTCCCACATTTGAAAGTGATGAACATTTATTTAGGTATTTATTGTAATTCGTATTTCGTTTGTTTTCAATTTGTTTATTGGAAATTGAATTGTATAGTTCATTTTGTGTAAGTATGTAAAAGTGAGTAATAGTATAGGCTTGTAATGATAGTTCATATTTTAGTAACTTTCTGGTGGTTTTGTGTATTTCCACGGCGTACTCAAGTGTCCTGCAGGCGGCAGTGTCGTGTTCCGGGTTGTTTATCCTGACTATATCGGTTAGGCTACACAATGGCTGGGGCTCGTATGCCGTCTCTATGGACGGGCGGACTCAAAACTATGGTCCTTTCCTCAAAAGGCCAACCCAGATCCCATACTGCACTCACATAATTCTCTTTAACATTGTACATTTACGATTCTTACTTGTAGCAAAAAATATAAATTGACGTGTAATTAATGAAATTAACTGTGGTACTAGCGTTTTTAACACATATACTTCTTTTTTGTTAACGGGGTGGACGATCCTCATGAATGTCCTTCGCTCAATGAAGGGTGAGAGGGCGAAGAGAGTCCGGAGTTACTCTGCTTGACAATGGCGGGGGGAGCGAGAAACGTAATTGCGTTCTTCCGTCACCCACAGGCTTCCACCCATCCAGCGGCTCCGCGTGCTGGCTTTGCCGCCGTGTAGGCGCTCCAGCCAGTTATCGTCTAGTTGCAAAATAAGCACATTCGTATTTGCGGTGTCCATTTAAACCAAAAAAGGTCATTTTTAA